GATCTTTGGGGGGAGGGCCCCATCATAGGGTCTTCATTTCCGATTTCCAATTCCAACACAATCATGAAGCAAAGGCGACTGGTTCAGCCGGGAACAAAATCAAAGCGAAAGGCATTGAACTCCCTCTGGTAGGTTTCTATGAGAGAGTGATGCTGTGATGTAACTTTAATTAATTGAAAAAATTAGGGTATTACAATAGGTTTTAGGGTTTTATAAATTTTTTGTTTTACATACGATGTGCAAACCCTAGAACCGATCTCTTAGTAATTAGATTCGCTCTAGAGATCTCAGGAATCCCAACAGCTCTCCTATTGGTTTTAGACGCTTTAGGATAATCTACGGTATGATAACCACATACTTTGTAATGATTTATTTGTTGAATGCATTATGTTTTTACTATATGATTTTCATATTTGTTATAAATCGAGATCCTTGAATCGTTTGAGAAAATTTTAAACTCTCTAGTTGCCCATTATCATAAAAACGATTATGAACTAAGGCTAGCATATATATGGTATATAATCATGGAAATGATTATGGGCATTCACTACAAGAAAAACACGAATTTTCTGTCGCAAATATAAAGCGAATCTGTCGTAATTAAAAATTTGCGACAGATTGCGACAGAATTGTTTCTGTCCGTATATCGTTGTCGCAAAAATTTATGAGTCGCCAATTTGTCGCAATTTTGCGACGGAGTTGTGCGACAGATTATTCCGTCGCAAAATATTTTTTAATTTAAAAAAATATAAAAACTATATTATACATACACATATATAGATATCTACATATACATACATTACACATATACATATATATACATACATATACACACATATTCATACACATACATATACATTTACATACACATACACACATTCATACATATTCACACACACATATACATACATAAACACACATACAAACACATACACATTCACATACACACATACACACATTCAAATACATAAACACATACATATTCACATTCACATTCATATACATACACAACATACATACACACACATACACATTCACTTACACACATACACATATTCACATATATGCATACACACATGCACATCACACATTCACATTCACATATATACACAACACACACATACACATACACATACATATTCACACACACATATATATATATATATATTCACATAGATATATATATATATATATATATATATATATATTTACATATTTATATATTTACACATACAAATTCAAAAATATACACACATACCTTAGCAAATTTTGAAGAAAAATGATTGTGGGCAAACATTTCGATAGATTTTGATTTTTGGTTAAAATTTCGAAGTATGGAGGAGAAAGACGAAGTCACGACTTTTATTAAGTGCGATGGATATGTCCGTCGCAAATCCGTCGCAAAGGCAAAAAATTCGAAATAAAAACCGCAAAAATTTGAAAATTTTCAGCGAAAATGACGGTTGGGACAGAAACATCTGTCGCAAGAATTTGCGACAGATATCTCTATCGCACATCTGTCGCAAAATTAAATAAAATTAATAAATGCGACAGATTTTCCATCGCATATAATGTTTGTTTTTACGACGGACACGATTCTGTCACAATCTATGGCACATTTGCAAAGGATTTTGTGACTTCAATTTTTTTTTCGTATTCCGTCGTAAATCTATCGTATTCTGTTGTAATTTGTGTGCGACCGAATTTTCCGTCGTAAATTTTGTCGCAAAATAGTTGCGACAGAATATTCTGTCGCAAAGTCTGACGCAATTTAAAGATTTTCTTGTAGTGATTGGTTTAGAACAAGGTATTCACTGATTTGCATGAGAATGTCACTTAGATATCAGTTATGATTTAAATCTCATGTAATGATTTGTTTTGGATTCTTATACATGAGATATTTAAAAGCATCTAACGTGATGAGTAGTGTGTTCTGATTCAATTAAATGTATTCTTTAATCGGATGATTATAATGATGATGTTCGGGTATATTTAGAATAATATGGAAGATAATATATAGTTAAGATGAGATTTGTTCCTTTTGAACGAGCGATATATCGATGGGTTCTTAAGTAAGTCGATCTGTGAAAATATATGACTGTGTCATTGATGAGTGTCATTTATGACTTCGAGTCGACCTAATGAACCACAAAATGCTTGAACGAGATAAGGTGACTAGTTCCATACTTTATGTTTACCATATGATATCGTGAAACAAAATGATCAAAGTCTGAGCTATTATTGTCTACGTCTAGATCACTTATAACTTAATTCAAAGTATGTAATTATAACGTCTTGGTAGAGACTAATTATGACTTGTCTGAATTTTGTTGAGAGCATTGACACGGACGACATTGTTAATTAGATATGACATTGTTAATTATCTCAGAGATTTAATACAACATGTAAAGGTGGCGTAACTATCCATAGAAATTAAGTAATCAAGACAACATAATCTATCATAAAAATTGATTAAATAATAACTAATCGAATAATAATAATAATAATAATAATAATAATAATAATAATAATAATAATAATAATAATAATAATAATAATAATAATAATAATAATAATAATAATAATAATAATAATAATAATAATAATTAGATTTTGTATATAGTTTGGGTTAATTCTATTTATATATCGTTTAATATATATGTGTATATTAGAAAAAAAGAATAAAAAATTAGTATTATAAAGATAGCGAATATTACTTCTATTATAATATCTGATAAATTATAAATAGAGAAAATTTAGAATAATTTTTTTTTAATTTCTCTTTTCTATTTAGTTGTAAAACCTAAAATAGCAAATGATAGGTAAATTGAAATCATTGACCATGTAAATAGTAAGACGGTGGTTAAGGATCCCTACATAGTATTTTGTATATAGTTTGGGTTAATTCTATTTATATATCGTTTAATATATATGTGTATATTAGAAAAAAAGAATAAAAAATTAGTATTATAAAGATAGCGAATATTACTTCTATTATAATATCTGATAAATTATAAATAGAGAAAATTTAGAATAATTTTTTTTTAATTTCTCTTTTCTATTTAGTTGTAAAACCTAAAATAGCAAATGATAGGTAAATTGAAATCATTGACCATGTAAATAGTAAGACGGTGGTTAAGGATCCCTACATAGTAATAGAGGTCTAACATAATTTATTTATAGACAAAATTGTATATAAAAATTTTTACAAAATTTTTAAATAAATATTTGAACTATAAAATTCCTAAATAAATATCTGAAATTTTTAAAATTTTCACATAAATATCCAAACTTTTAAAAATTTGCCAAATGAAATAATATTTGTTGACGTCATGTCATCAATTATCGACCGATTCTTTTATAAATTTAACGTCGTTAATGAATTTTGGTTTTATTTTGTAAATTTTTAAAAATTTAGGTATTTATTTAAAAATTTTATAAAAGTTCAATATTTATGTACGATTTTTTTATTTATAATAAAAATATATATTTTTATTTGAATGTTTAATAAAATTTAGGAAAAATAGCATATAAGTACCTAAACTTTTACAAAAATCCCATATAAATACCTGAACTATAAAATTTTCATATAAATATCTAAACTTTTCTAAAATCCTATATAAATACCTATACTTTTGAAAAACTACCATATCGTTAATAATATTACCTATTTTTATTTGAAAAATATTTGAAATTTATATTTATTTGAATTTTTTTTAAATCTAAGTATTTATATAGGATTTTTAAAAATTTAAGTATTTATATAGAAGTTTTATAATTCATATATTTATATGATATTTTTGTAAAAGTTTATATTATTTTCTCTAAAATTTACGATTTTATATGGAATTTCTAGCAAACGTTCAACCAACTCCGCGACCGTCTTCGTTGATTTAGTTCTTATTTTTAATTTTTTAAATTCTTTTTGGCAGTCACGTTTGACAATTTGCGAATTCCTTTTTTCTCATGCACTCATCTCCTCGACCCACTGTCGTCGTCTTCCTGGAATTAGCTTCAAAACTGTAACAGAGAAGAAATCAGCTTCAATGACTCTTCCTCTTCCTAGTTGTACAGATACATCCGAGCCAGGATTGACCCAGTCGCTCGTGTAGGTTTTGCTTTTCTTCAATTTCTCCAGCTTTTTTTTTCCGTTCATCGCTACGTGAAATTATGCTTTCCTGTTTCTGATTTTTTCCATGGATGATTCGGAATTGAAATCGGGTTCCTGGGTTTTCTGGTGCAGCGCATCTCTAATGATTTTATACTGCAGGTCCTCTCTGGGGGTTGTTCCGTGATTTTCTGTTGGTTTCTCGATTTCAATTCTGCAACTGCAACATGTTTTCTGCTTCCGTGATCGGTCAACTTCTTGCTCTCTAGCCGGAGATTTAATCGCCGGGGAAGAGGAGATGGCTTCTGCCGCCATTGATTTCGGGGTTGGTAGGATCCTCACGCTCCTCGAAAACGAGGTCTTGGTGCAAGGAGGAGTCAATGACGAGGTGGAGAAGATGAGAACTGAGTTACTGATCATGAAGTCCTTTCTCCAGGACAAGGCAGAAACCAAAACAACCCATCTTTTTCAGTCCTTCGTATCAAATACAAGAGACTTGGTGTATGAAGCTGAGAGTGTCATCGATGAGTTCGCCTATCACATCAGTGACCACCGTAGCCGTTCCAGACTTGGACGCATGGTCCGGTTTCCCATATATATGCGGGCAAGGCGCTCAGTAGCCACCAATTTGGACAACTTAAATGACAAGATCCGAGCGTTGTCCGAATCAGTCAGGAGGTACTATGGTTCAGAAAACATCTTACGAGTTCCCAACGACAGTAATGGTGACGATACAAAGTGGGTGAAAAACCTGAGCGAGACGTCGCTTTTCTTTGGCGAGGACAGTCTCGTGGGGATAAACGAGGGAAAGGAAAAGCTGATCGGGTGGTTGCTGGACTCAGAACCTCAGAGGACGGTTGTGTCTGTGGTTGGAATGGGTGGTTCGGGTAAGAGTACTGTTGCTGCTAATGTTTTCAAGTCTCAGGTTGTCCGAAGACACTTTGATTGTTGTGCGTGGATCACTGTCTCCCAGTCCTATGTGATTGAAGATGTCTTCAGGACCATGATAAAGGAGTTGTATAAGGAAGCAGATTTGCAAACTCCAGCCGATTTTTACTCCTTGAACTATAGGGAGTTGGCAGAAACGCTTGTGAACTTTTTAAAGGAAAGGAGATATATTGTTGTGCTTGACGATGTGTGGAGCACAAGACTGTGGACGGAGATAAATGTTTCTCTTCCTGAAGGTACTTGCGGAAGCCGTGTGATGATCACCACACGTAATGAGAACGTAGCTTCCTTCGCGTATGGGAAAGACTGCCAAATCCACCGGATTGAACCGCTTAAAGACAACGAGGCTTGGGAACTGTTCTGTAGAAAATCATTTCGAGAGAATTCGAAACAAAGCAGAATTCCAAATATCGAAGGCATAGCGAGGAAGCTTGTTCAGAGATGCGAAGGTCTGCCGTTAGCTATTGTCGGTTTGGGCTGCATGATGTCAACGAAACTATTAGAATCTGAATGGAAACATGTCGATAATACCTTGAACTGGGAGCTGAGCAACAATCCCGAACTCAGGGTTGTTCACGGTATTTTGTCGCTTAGCTTTAAAGATTTGCCCCACCCGCTTAAACATTGCTTCTTGTATTGTTGTCTTTTTCCCGAAGATTATGAGATCAAAAGAAAGAGACTGATCAGAATGTGGATTGCTCAAGGCTTTGTGGAACCAAGAAGAGGAGCAAAATTAGAGGAAGTGGCTGACAGTTATCTTAGGGAACTTGTTTACAGAAACATGCTTCAAGTCATTCGGAAAAACTGTTTAGGAAGACCAAAGACATTCAAGATGCACGATATGATGAGGGAGATTGCTTTGTCCATGTCTAAAGCCGAGAGGTTCTCGGACATTTATGTTGACGATGAAAATACAGTTGAAGATAATGGAGCTCGCCATTTATGTATTCAAGGAGAGATGAGGTCGGGTAACAGACATTCAAACCTTCACACTCTCTTAGCGTGCTACACTGTGAACCGGGAGTTTGTGTTACCACTTGGTCTGAAGCTTCTGAGAGTGTTAGACCTTGAAAACTCTCCCATCAGCAAACTTCCTGATTCATTGGGTATCATGTTCAACTTAAAGTATCTGAATCTGACGAGAACTCAGGTGAGGGGACTTCCGAAATCTTTCAGCAGGCTCCTTAACCTAGAGACACTGATAACCAAGGAGTCCAACATTAAGGTTCTTCCGCCAGAGATATCAAAGTTGAAGAACCTGCAGAATCTGATCGCTTACCATTACCTTCACAAAGATGCATTTGGGCGGCCTTATCTATCAGGCACAAGTGTCGGGTTTGATATTTGCAAGTTAAGAAGCTTGAAAGTGTTGTATAGCATCAATGTACAAGCTGGGCATATCAAGAATCTCGGCAACTTGACACGACTCACAAGGTTAGGCCTCGTTAATGTGAAAAGGGTCTATGGAGATGACTTGTGCAGTTCACTTAATCACATCAAAGGTCTCCGACACTTATCTTTGAAGTCGATTGATGCGGAAGAGCCGCTAAAACTGGATGCATTAGTATCAACTGCGAGCATCGAGAGGCTCTCCCTGGTCGGAAGGCTCGAGAGAACTCCTGGTTGGTTCAGAAGCCTTCATAATCTTTCCATTCTTGGCTTGTATTGGTCCAAACTGGAAGAAGATTTGGTCTCGCATATCCAAGACCTTCCTAATTTGGTGCAGCTTTCGCTTACGGATGCGTGTCGAAGTAGCAACGTGTTATGCTTTATGGAAGGGTTTCGGAGTCTGAAAGTTTTGGTGATCACCGGCTCACCGGGTTTGACAGAAATCGTCATACAGAAGGGCGTGATGCCGGGCCTAGAGAAGCTGCAGATCAAGGAATGCCCAGAGATTGAATCGGTACCCCGAGGTATCGAAAGTCTTGTGAATCTCCAAGAACTGCTTCTGTATTATGTTTCGGACCAACTTGTGGAGCGCATCAATGGCGAGGAGAGGGAGGACTACTCGAGGGTTAAACACATTCCTGCGATCAAGCATTATTTTATGACAGAAAATGGTCTATCCTTTGACTTCTTGTAAAAATCAAACCTCAACTCAAGCTTGTGTTTCTACCATTTACTCTCCCTTTCCCATCCGTCACTGAGAGATTTGAGCTCTTACAAGGTTGTCTAAGTTCATGTAAATTTTATCCAAAATTATGGAATCTCTCTTTTGTAATTAATTAGCAGTGCAGATTTTCAAATCATTGAGACTTTGTAATTTTTTTTAATCTACTTTATATATAAAACTAGGTAATAACCCGCGCGAATCGCGCGGACTGAATATTTACGAATTTAAATAATTTTTTATATTTAAAATTAAATATAATAAAATTTGTTTTAAATTTATCATTTAGATTGGGAAAATCCCAAAAAAAATTATCGAACTTGGAGATAGCTGACATATTAATACCGAGCTTTTCCAACTTCCAAATTAAATATGAATTCGTCGATTTTGACACAAAAAATATTGAACTTGTAAATCGTTTAACGTCGATGAAGTTTTTGTCAAAGATTTACAAGTTCAATATTTTTTGTGTCAAAATCGACAAATTCATATTTAATTTGAAAGTTGAAAAAGTTCGGTATTAATATGTCAGCTATCTCCAAGTTCGATAATTTTGTTGGGATTTTTCCTTTAAATTATTCTATTAAATTTTTTTTTTGTCATAGTGTGAAAATAATAAGATGATAAGGATGAATCTAAATATAATAGTATGAGGTATTATATCCTATTCTATAATTAACAAAATATAATTTTTTCATAAATTTTATAAAATTTGTAGATATCCGTAATATTTTTACCACTATTTTCTTTCTTTATATATTTCTCTTATCATTTTTTATATTTTGTTGATCGTTTTTATCTTTAAGTCTTTATTTTTAATCTAGATAATAATCTACGTGTATCGTACAGACTTGAAATCTCAAATCTCAAAATGTTTAACAATTTTCTACACCATCTCCAATGACGTTAAATTTTGGTGATTGCGATAAGTAAATATAGGACAGATAATTAAAATTTACTACGTGAACATGCCACGTCAGTAAATTAAAATTGAATATTTTTTCGGTTCTTATTAAATCAATTGGTTTGGTTGATTATAATGATTTTATGATGATTTTGAGTTGTAGTATGATATGAAACACTTGACGTTTATATTTGTATTTAATTTGTTATTATGATTGTAGCAAAAACTAAGATAAGTTGTTTGAGTTGAACTAAATATAAATAGAAAACTTTAATAATATAAAAATATTATTATATTTTTTTTTGCAAGCAGAATTAAATCAATGACAGAATATTGTTATTACTGCATAGATATTTTACCATTTCACTATAACTGATTTATTATGGTTGTCTTTAGTACTGGTGTGACTTTCTTCAATGCCTGCCAAAAATTCAGTTATTAGGTAATAATAAAAATTATTGTGGTAAATATTAGAAATATAGATTTTTTGAAGAATGATATAATTTATTTACCTTAAGCGGAAAGTTTTGATAATGTTCAATTTTTCATCTATGTAAATCTTTGTAGATGTTGATGTATTGAGTGATAGAACACCTGATACATAAAATGTATTAGTAAACTCAATATAACAATAATAATGGTTTTTAAATATTAATCTATCAAATATTTAGAAATTAATTTGTATTAAATAATTACCGTGAATAATCTTTGGATTTACACCTATAATGACTGTGATACTTTTTCTGACATTCAATCTATGAATTTGTGAACGGAGTTCTACAGCGAGATCATCCCATACAGAAAGCTTGACGATATTGTTGCTGGTTTTTAAATTGAAATTATATGTTAGTTTATATAAAACTAATTTAGTTAAAATTTTATAAAATGATATTTTTTGGAGTGTAAATAAAAGTTGAAAACTTACTCTTCCAATAATAAACGAAGAATAATTTTCTGAGTTGACGACGACATTCGTAAATTTGATCCTTGTATTGCGACTAAAACTCCAATAATATCTGCAACATTAGAGAATATATTAATTATAAGATCCAATATTTTTTTTTGGTTTTTTATATTATCACATATCTAGTAGATCGTGTTTTTTGTTTGCCAATGCCAACAAATCATCGTATAAACATATTCGAAATTTTTCTTTGACAATATTATAAGTAGTTACAACAACTTTTTCAATAGTTGTATATTCTGTAAAATAAATAAGAAATTTACTGTTCGTTAATTTGTATATATATTTATTTGGTAGAATCTTGAAATGTCTGATTAAAAATATATCTCTCTCGTTTATTATATTTTTAAAATTTTCTGCATGATCCTCAAATATTTTTCCTTCAACAACATTTTCCTGCAACATTATAAGTAGAAAAGATTAGATTTTTAATAAACATAGTATAAGAAAATCAATATTAATTAGAACGTACATTTTCATCAATTAATAAGAATCCGATGTCATTGAACCTATTCTCATTGAAAGAATTTCGTTCATCCCATATTCGTAGAAATCTGACCATAATACACCGATAACTATGATGTATA